GACAAATTGACCGGCACTCGGCGCTCAGCATTTTTTTGCGATGTTACAGCGCGCGCTGTGTTTATACAACCTCGTTTTGTTTATCATTCGCGCGGCGAGGCTCGAGCGGGCAGGCAGCGGAGCTCCGGCGCTCCGTCTTCGCATTAGCTTTCGAGACATTTATTGCGACGCTATTTCTGCGTGCTTATTGATTGAGTATCGGCATGGCATATCGGAACGGACCGAGTAACATTTCGAATCGAGTAGCATTGCGACGCGTTTATTTAGTAAACATGACTGCGGTTCGTCGTGTAATGTATATTGATATTTATCAATCGCGTAAGATAAACGCGACATACCTGTATTGGTGATGGTTATTAAAACTCTCCGTCTCCAACATTTGCTCGCGAGAAATTCATGTTTTTCAGGAAATCTCAACTCTGTGGTTATTCTTTACAACGTAGTAAAATCGGAAGTGTCGGAAGATTGTTAATTTTGGGGGATTAACAACAAAGTTGTGCGATGATAATTAATCGCGACTGTTTCCGCAGTGTTATGTTGCGAAGCATGATGAAGCTGACAACTCTGACAACTTGAGAGGAGGTGGAGGCCTAGGAGAGGCATCAGGCGACGGCGGAGCAACCATGGAGTAAGTAGCTTATCATTTATTTGGACACAATTATCTCTCGCAATATTAATTGTCTTGGGCAGTGCTCTAACATGATTATATGATTTTTGTTTTACAGTTCATCGTAATTGATATTACAACTCCGCTGTTGCGCATCGTATCGGTGAGTCGAAATATTTATTTTATTTTAAAATAACAGATCTGTACGTGTTATATGAAAGACAAATATGTAATTAAACATATGTGTATGGGTACGTATTAAATTAAAAACAGAAAGATATTACGTCTCGCAGATTCATTATCTCGAATAAGATGGGTTAAAGTCACTTAAATCATATATATGATAAAAATTATTTATTGAACAGAGTAGGAAAAAAATTTTAATCATTACTTTTCTTTCTTCTTTTTTAAATATCCTTTTAAAGAAGTATACATTCTTTTCGCATTTTTCCATATTTTAAATATTATTTGAATTGATACAAAAGAAAGAAATATTAAAATTTCTTTATATATACATTTCAATAAATATAAGGAAAATAATAGAAAATATTTTGCATATTCCATCTCACACATTTAATTAAAATTATTTAATGGTTATTATTCATATTTATACAACGTATCTCAATTTTATCCCAATTTTTTAATTCATTTATTTACAAATTGTTACAATTATTTGCTATATAATTGCAAATATATATCGAAAAAATTGTACATAATTGCATATAAATTCAATATTTGATGTATCGTCATTTATTTTTATACTTTTCGAGTAAAATGCAACTTCAAAATAATAAATTTTAATACATTTAATATTCGATTAATCGCTCATTTATCTCCGTGGTAATCTGATTGATAACACTTTAATGGCGTTCTCTGGGAATTAATTAACATTGAAGATTTAATGTCACCATAGTTTCTGGATAGTTGCTTAATTACTTCACTTAGAATAATTATATCAATTTGAACCTTAGAATATGCTGTTAAAACATTACGTGATATAGTCATAGGATATTCTGTATAATGAAATAAATCTTACAATTTGGTATTGACATCCACAACTGAAACTGAAACTTTAATTCAGTGGAAATAGCAAGTTTACCAAGTCGAAAATTACGTATTCCGTCTGATCATTTTCAGTCTTAACTACTGAGCTTTACCATTTCAAGCGAGAGGTACACTTAATTAAGTTAACTAACGCAGAT